CCGTCCCTGGGTCGATTTTTTGCTCTGAGTTACAAGCTAACATTTGAGTTATGAGCCAGCTCACCCCTCCCTCTTACCCCCTCAACCCAAAACCTGGACACCTTGCTTGTATATCTATGATTTCATGCTTTATTTCCATGGAAAACATTCTCTTTTTCTTCTCAGCAATAATAATAATAATAATATAATATTATTACAGTCAAGTCATTCAGTAAGTCAGTCATGTCACTCAGTAAGTCAGTCATGTCACTCAGTAAGTCAGTCAAGTCAGTCAGTCAGTCAGTCAGTCAGTCAGTCAGTCACACAAACTCATGTTAATCACTTTTTCTGTGTACAAAGTAACACTTCAATTATGGCTACAGGTTATCTCTTGTTAATTCTAAGACTTAAGTGCTTATGCCTCTTTGTGCCACTTTCAGCAACACTAGTATGGCTAATGGGTGTCAGGATTGCTTGGCAGACAAGATATAGTAACTGAAATATCATAACACAACTGACAAACACAACTGCCTTGTAGCAGAGAAAGACTGGATACATATGAATTAGGAATGCTGGGATGGTGGCATGGTGTCGGGGAGTGGTAGGGATGGTGGGGTGGTGTGGGGGTTGGTAGGGGATGGTATGGGGTGGTGTCAGGGAGTGGTAGGGGATGGCTCCCTGGCTGCTACACAACAAGGTGGCTGCTCGAGCAAAAGAGAATTTTTTTCCTTCCCAGAAACTGATCCATGTTAAATTAATTACACAACATGTTACATAAAATTGTGCAGCAATTCTTCAATGGCGGTTTACTGTATTATTATAATAACGATAGAGCTTCAATTCCCTAAATTAATATTTTTTTTTTTTTTCAACAAGTTGGTCGTCTCCCACCGAGGCAGGGTGACCCAAAAAAGAAAGAAAATCCCCAAAAAAGAAAATACTTTCATCATCATTCAACACTTTCACCACACTCACACATTATCACTGCTTTTGCAGAGGTGCTCAGAATACAACAGTTTAGAAGCATACACATATAAAGATACACAACATATCCCTCCAAACTGCCAATATCCCAAACCCCTCCTTTAAAGTGCAGGCATTGTACTTCCCATTTCCAGGACTCAAGTCCGACTATATGAAAATAACCGGTTTCCCTGAATCCCTTCACTAAATATTACCCTGCTCACACTCCAACAGATCGTCAGGTCCCAAGTATCATTTGTCTCCATTCACTCCTATCTAACACGCTCATGCACGCTTGTTGGAAGTCCAAGCCCCTCCCCCACAAAACCTCCTTTACCCCCTCTTTTCAACCCTTTCGAGGACGACCCCTACATATCCTTCCTTCCCCTATAGATTTATATGCTTTCCATGTCATTCTACTTTGATCCATTCTCTCTAAATGATAAAACCACCTCAACAACCCCTCTTCTGCCCTCTGACTAATACTTTTATTAACTCCACACCTTCTCCTAATTTCCACACTCCGAATGTTCTGCAAAATATTTACACCACACATTGCCCTTAGACAGGACATCTCCACTGCCTCCAACCGTCTCCTCGCTGCTGCATTTACCACCCAAGCTTCACATCCATATAAGAGTGTTGGCACTACTATACAGTGGACCCCCGGTTAACGATATTTTTTCACTCCAGAAGTATGTTCAGGTGCCAGTACTGACCGAATTTGTTCCCATAAGGAATATTGTGAAGTAGATTAGTCCATTTCAGACCCCCAAACATACACGTACAAATGCACTTACATAAATACACTTACATAATTGGTCGCATTCGGAGGTGATCGTTATGTGGGGGTCCACTGTACTTTCATACATTCCCTTCTTTGCCTCCATAGAAAACGTTTTTTGACTCCACATATACCTCAATGCACCACTCACCTTTTTTCCCTCATCAATTCTATGATTAACCTCATCCTTCATAAATCCATCCGCCGACACGTCAACTCCCAAGTATCTGAAAACATTCACTTCTTCCATACTCCTCCTCCCCAATTTGATATCCAATTTTTCTTTATCTAAATTATTTGATACCCTCATCACCTTACTCTTTTCTATGTTCACTTTCAACTTTCTACCTTTACACACATTCTCAAACTCATCCACTAACCTTTGCAATTTTTCTTTAGAATCTCCCATAAGCACAGTATCATCAGCAAAAAGTAACTGTGTCAATTCCCATTTTGAATTTGATTCCCCATAATTTAATCCCACCCCTCTGCCGAACACCCTAGCATTTACTTCTTTTACAACCCCATCTATAAATATATTAAACAACCATGGTGACATTACACATCCCTGTCTAAGACCTACTTTTACCGGGAAGTAATCTCCCTCTCTTCTACACACCCTAACCTGAGCCTCACTATCCTCATAAAAGCTCTTTACAGCATTTAGTAACTTACCACCTATTCCATACACAGTGGACCCCCGCATAACGATCACCTCCGAATGCGACCAATTATGTAAGTGTATTTATGTAAGTGCGTTTGTACGTGTATGTTTGGGGGTCTGAAATGGACTAATCTACTTCACAATATTCCTTATGGGAACAAATTCGGTCAGTACTGGCACCTGAACATACTTCTGGAGTGAAAAAATATCGTTAACTGGGGGTCCACTGTACTTGCAACATCTGCCACATTGCTCCTCTATCCACTCTATCATATGCCTTTTCTAAATCCATAAATGCAATAAAAACTTCCCTACCTTTATCTAAATACTGTTCACATATAAGCTTAAATGTAAGCACTTGATCTACACATCCCCTACCCACTCTGAAGCCTCCCTGCTCATCCGCAATCCTACATTCTGTCTTGCCTCTAATTCTTTCGATTATAACCCTACTATTATTATTATTATTACTATTATTATTACCATTATTATTATTATTATTATTATTATTGTTGTTGTTGTAGAAAATACCATATATTTTCCAAAAATATTTTGTATGTAAATTGATGGAATATATTGTAGGTAATAAAAATGAATTTGTAAATAAATAAAGAGCCAGCGAAATGGGGGAGTGTCGCTGGGGAAGGAAACGCCATTGTTTGGAAATGGGCTGAAGGCACTGAGTGAAATGTGCATAAATTTTGTTGCTCTGGAGGTTAAATTGTGGTTGCAACCTCCCAAATAGGAGCAGAAATTGTTGGATTTGCAGTCCTGCATAACGTGAGCATTAGGCGAGTAGACAGGACAGTCCAGGAACCCCAGCTAAGTCATGTCTATTTATGGGACAGTCCAGGAACCCCAGCTAAGTCATGTCTATTTATGTTGGAATTCTGGCCAGTATTTTCTTCATATTTAGGCAGGGGTTTGTGTATGATACACCAAGTAATCTCCAGACAAATTGGCGAGTCTTATTATTATAAATTCTCCTTCAATGTCTATGTATTCATTTTTTAAATTTAACCCTTTGACTGTCGCGGCCGTATATATACGTTTTATGAGGTGCCGTGTTTGACGTATACTCATAAATTCTAGCGGCTTCAAATCAAGCAGGAGAAAGCTGGTAGGCCCACATGTGAGAGAATGGGTCTGTGTGGTCAGTGTGCACCATATAAAAAAAATCCTGGAGCACGCAGTGCATAATGAGAAAAAAAAAACTCCGACCATTTTTTGTAATTAAAATGCCAACTTTGTGGTCTATTTTCGTATAGTATTTATGGTTGTATTCTCGTTTTCTTGGTCTCATTTGATAGAATGGAAAACATATTACAGAAATAGAGGTGATTTTGATTGATTTTACTATAAAAAGAACCTAGAAATGGAGCTCAAAGTAGGGGAAATGTTTGATTTTTGCCAATGTTCAAAAGTAAACAAATGATGCCATTGTCCAATAAATGTCCAACTAGCCATTCTAATATGCAGTCATGAATGGGTTGATGTTATTTATACAGTTATTACAGCATTGCAGTAGTCTGCATAATAGTAAGTCTAATATTTTTTGTTTGAATAAAAATTCAAAATAGAAAGCAAGAGTAATATCAGAAGGGCCTGGAGACGTGACTGATGAACAAAGAAAATGTTATTTTAGAGCCAGGAATGTCTGCATTGTTCATTCTGGACCTTATTTTGAAATTGTCATATTTTTTAGTTTTCGTGAAATTGGCCAAATTGCAAATTTCTGACCACATTATTAGGTAGTTGAAATCAGTAAATGGGCAGTTTCTTGTATATTCAATTGATAGAAAAAATGAAGTTCTAAAGAAATAGCTATGAGTTTGGGCGACTGGAACAATGGAATTAGCCGAAAATAGGGCTCAAAGTGGGCGAAATCGCCGATTTGTAAACAGCGCCGAGGTCGCTAACTTCGCGAGAGCATAATTCCGTCAGTTTTCCATCAAATTTCGTTTTTTTGGTGTCATTACAATCGGGAAAAGATTCTCTATCATTTCATAAGAAAAAATAATTTTTTTTTTTTTTAAATTTTGCGACACCAGGAGACACCTCAGGATTGGGGGTTGCGACAGTCAAAGGGTTAATATACAGTCCACATATTTATATTAATGTTTACCAGAATTCCTGGTAATGTATATTTCATTTGAAATTAATATAGGTCCAGAGTGGCTTGTGGAGATATGACAGTAGGTATCGAAGGGGGACATTTTTGCGACCTAAGTGTCCTAAAATTCCTATATGTCTCTGTAACCTTGATAAAGAATAATTATCTTTGTTACTTTTAAAAAATTACTGGTATATATCTAATGAGATTCATCCAAGTAAATTTAATTTTCCACAATTATTATAATGATAGAGCTTCAGTTCCGAAAATTAATAATAATAATAATAATAATAATAATAATAATAATAATAATAATAATAGAACTTCAATTCCCTAAATTAATAATAACAATAATAATAATAATAATACAATACTACTACTAATTATTATTATTATAATGATAGAGCTTCAGTTCCCTAAATAATAATAATAATTATAATAATGATAGAGCTTCAGTTCCCTAAATTAATAATAATAATATTGTATAATATGTACATAATAATAATTCAGATTGCTTCTGCTAGTTGGCACAGCTGGTAAGCAGTAAACATGTTTATATCCATGCGGGGGCAGTTCTCTCATGCTTGTTTGCATTTTTTTACAGTCATTTGGCCAAATTTCTTTTTCCTAACCATGAGTCCTAGTGATCTATTGCAGTTAGCCTCAAAAATACTCCATTTTCTCTTACAGTAAGAACATGGGAAGATACTATAGTCAAATTTTATTCATTCTAGAGTATATATCATGTTTCTCTGCTAATTATATTGTTTATTATGTCATATTAGATGAATTATGATAGATAAATAAACCATACAGTTGATAATAGTGTCATATTCAAGTATTTTTTCTCATCTCTCCAGAGTGCTGGAATGAATTAATAGCTTTTCAATTAATTTAAATGAGGAAAATTAATTTGATATACGAGTAAATTGAGTTACGAGCTAGCTCCTGGAATGGATTAAACTTGTAAGTCAAGGTTCCACTGTACATTGTTTCAGTGTTTTCCTTATGAAACTAGTGACCTAGTGCAGTCAGCCTCATAAACACTCCATTTTCTCTTATAATAAGAGCATGGGAAAATAGAGCGGGAGCGGGAATGGCTGCCGCTGCCACCACTAGTCACATAATGACATATTTTATTCATTCTAGAGTACATATCATGTTTATATATTACCTATATTTTTATTATGTCATATTAGATGAATTGTGATAGATAAATAAGCATCATATTGAAGTATTTCATCCTGCCTCCTGAGAGCAGGAATTCCGCTGGAATGGATTAATGGCATTTCCATTAATTTAATAACCCTTAAACGGTCCAAACAGATCGACGTTCAAATTCGAAGTGCTACAAAAGTAGATCTACGTTTTTTTTACATATTTTCAAACAAAAAAAAATGTAGATAAAAGTTTTTTTTACACGTTTTCAAATGTAAAACAAAAAAGAAGATCTACATTTTTTTACATACTTTCATATGTTGAAAAAACGTATATATACGTTTGGACCATTTAAGGGTTAAATGAATAAAACTGTTTTGATATACGAGCAAACTGAGTTATGAGCTAGGCAATGGAACGGATTAAACTCGTAAGTTGAGGTTCCACTGTAGAAGATAGTTGTGATTATATCAGTACATGCTCCATGTGGCACGTATGAATCTAATGATCATAGCAAATCCAAGTGACCACTAGGGTATACATTTATTAATATGTTTACCTAAGATAAGTTTTAATTTCCATTGTAAATATTTATGAGACAGAAAGAAAAGGCGAGAAATCCTACCACATTGCAAAACATTTAACAGACTTTCATTTCACACACCTATCATAACATGATAGGTACCATATTCCATACTAATGTATTTACACTTGAAAACATATGGACAAGATAGTCATTAATGAGTTACAAAATGGCTGCCAGTGCTATAAGATATCAGCTATGAAGAGAGAGTGAAGGCATTAGACATGCCCTTGAAGAATATGAAAGAAACGGTTATAAAGATTTCCTACCACTATCAAGAGAGACAACAAAAGGTCTTCGTGATAAGCTAAGAAAGAAGTGCCAAAGGGATGCTAGAACCTATTTGGATTAAGTTATAAGAGAAGGTAGTAAGTACTACAACCACTTAAAATTTCAACAAAATTAAATAATAAATTAAATAATTTATCAAAGAAGGGACACCAAGAGATTTGCTCTCCTCTTTTTGCTACATATAGATACAGCAAATATAAATACGTATTAACACATGCTTTTACATTACTATTAGTATAGATGACATAATCACTTGGTGTGAGTGTCGTGTGCACTAAAGGCACATCACTAGTGGACAACACTACTGATACACCAGATATAAGAGCTCATCCCACATAAACACATGGGAAGCCTACCCTGAGCAACATGCATTACAAACAAATACACTTATTACAAACTGTAGTGTAAGTAGGTTACATGGATATGGTATACTCAATGAAAATCTCAAAGAATTCAAAATTACTTACCTTGAATGATTCCACTCTTTTTTGAGACTGTTAATTCATGAACAACCAAGGAAAGGAAAAAAAAAAATAGCTATTGAAAATACATAAAATAATTAAATTTATAAAACACAAGATGCACCAGTTTCAACAAAATCTATACTGGTTGTCCTAATCAACTAATCTAAGTGGTTACTACAGTCAACTGTCAACTACAGTGGACCCCCGGTTAACGATATTTTTTCACTCCAGAAGTATGTTCAGGTGCCAGTACTGACCGAATTTGTTCCCATAAGGAATATTGTGAAGTAGATTAGTCCATTTCAGACCCCCAAACATACACGTACAAACGCACTTACATAAATACACTTACATAATTGGTCGCATTCGGAGGTGATCGTTATGCGGGGGTCCACTGTATATTGATACAGTATACTGCATGTAACGAATTATGTAGAGTAAATCTGCCATTATTTTCATTACTTATTAACACAAATTACGTACTACTGAATACATTATTACAATATTAACTGACTCAGAAAATTCTAAAAATATTACTTAAAAATTTTTATTTATGACTTCTTTTGTCAAAATCTTTGGTAAGTGTATGGACTACACTAAAACCCTCGAAGGTGAAATATATACAGTACTTGTGGTTAGATAAACCCACAGTACTGTGCCTGACTTACACAAAATGTAATACTGTGCAATGTCACTAGGAACTATATATTATACAACTACATGCACTCCAGCCTTACCACTGGTGCCTGCTGAACTGAGATTTGTACTTTTATGAAAACTATTCAATGGTTCACTGAGGCCTTCCACTGTTTTAATTTCCTCCTCAGCACCATCTCTTCCCTGTTGCTGACAGGACTGTCCAGCCTCAAGACACATCACTTCAGCCTCTTCTGATTTGTCCTCATCATAGGTAAAGTAAGGTGGTGGGCCAACTAGCGACAGCAGAACAGGAAGAAAAACAAGTCCATGGAACAAGCCATAAAAGACCACAGCAAAGAATATCTGCAAAAAAGTTTTAAAATGTAAACCATGAAGGACACCAATATTGAAAAAAATTAATTATATGTAGGTACAATGAGGCCAGAGACTGTAAAAGAGATACATAAAAATATTACATATGAGATATAGAAACTTATTTAGCATACAGAAAACAAACATGAATGCCATGCATGATGTAATGAGTGAAAGCCAAGCTGTGTCCAATCAATATTTCACTGTTAATCATGGGGAAGCACTAAACCCATGGGAGGGACACAGTGCCTGCATAGCATTCGGGCTTGATCCAAAGAATGGGAGGATCAATCCAGTTCCTTCGATAATTCATCCGGTTACAGGTCAGACACAACAATGTTTAACCTTCCCGAGAGAGAGATTCAAACATTGAACACATGCTTGTGCAAGGACAGCACTGTCCACTTGGATATGTTATGGAGAAGATTCTTGAGAAGAAAATAACATATGCAGCTCTGACAAATCTAAATGTAGGATGAGAGAGAGGATATACAGCGGAACCCCGAGTTTCGGCCGCTTCGAGTTTAGATCACTTTTTTTGGCTAAATTTTGTCCCGAGTTTTGCCCTGTGCCCCATGTTTCGAATGGCGTACCAGACCTATCCACCTGCCCATGTCTGTGCACCTGCCCGTGCAGGCATTGTGAGCCAGTCTAGCTTTGTTTATCCTAGAGTGAATATTACCCTGCGAGCTCATACTACAAACATTTCACAATAAATTCATATTATTATTATTATAATAAAAAAGAAGCGCTAAGCCACAAGGGCTATACAGCGCTGCAGGGTAGGGAAGGAAGCGAGAGTACTGGGCGGTAGAAGGGGGGAGGGATGATCAGTAGGTTACAGAAAGCAGCGGGGCAGGGAATAGTGCGGGGGTAGAGAGCAGCAAGAGATTGAGGTAGAAAGGGCTGAAGGTATCATCAGAGTTTGTGAAGTAAGTCAGTTGTTGTCAAAAAGTCAATGAGAGAGTCCGGATGAAAGGCGAGTCCATCAGCGAGAAGGGAAGGTAAAGAGAGACCAGCGGAGCGAAGATGACGTTGGAGGTACGTATTATGTGTAGGTGGGGTGGCCTGGTATGGTAGCCCGGCTGACTACCATACATACCACACTTGATTTCTTACAATAAATACTACTTGTCTCACCCTAGATTAAGACTATAAATATTTTAAGGTAAGTAATGAGTGCACTATGTGTGTATTTTACTTTTTTATTGTTTTTCGATGCCTAGTTCTATTGCTAACTTAATATATGTTAGTGTAAACTTTTTATCTAGTATTTGTATGCATTTATAAGAGAAAAAAAGGGTGTTCCACTTTACAGCAATTTCCGCTTTACAGTGGTAGCTGGAACCTAACCTGCCGTATAAGTGGGGCACTACTGTATTAGACAAGAGATAACCAGTAGCTGTAGTGAAGTGTTACTTTGTACACAGAGTAAGAGGTTAACATGAGTTTGTGTGACTGGCTGAATGACTGACTGAACTGACTGACTTACTGAGTGACCTGACTGACTTACTGAGTGACCTGACTTACTGAATGACTTGGCTGACTTACTGAGTGAACTGACTGACTTACTGAGTGACTTGACTATTACATTATTATTATTAATTTACTGAACTGGAGCACAGATCCAATTCCCTAGATCAAGAGGCCCTCACCAGCATCAAGGAACCCTGACACTGGTGAGGGGCTCTTGATCTAGAGAATTGGATCTGTGCTCTAGTTAAATTAATAATAACACTAATAATAATAATAATTATTTTTATTATAATAACGAATGCCGGCAACTCAGTGCACTGTTTACCTCGCTGTGGGACCAGTTCTCTCCTGCTTTGTTTACATTTTTAAGTCATTTGGCCAAATTTCGTTTTTCTAAGCATGGGTCTTAAGAAAGTAATTGTGTAAAGGACAGTGCTGAGAAGAAAAAGAGGACGATTTCCATGGAATTAAAGCATGAAATCATGGATAAGCAAGCGAGGTGTCCAGGTTTTGGGTTGAGGGAGAAGAGGGGGGGGAAGCTGGCTTGTTACTCAAATGTTGGCTCGTAACTCAGAGCAAAAAATCGACCCTGGGACGGCTCGTATCTAAAAAAACTCGTACGTCGGGACACTCTTAAGTCAAGGTTCCACTGTACTGCTTCAACTTTAGGCCTAGCTCCTGGAATGGATTACGGCCAAAACTCAGGGTTCCACTGTATAAGAACTCAATAGTTTCAATGTTGGAAGCAATGCTTTTGTGAGTTATCTGTTTTTGTGACTGAACCATTTGAAATAAAGATGGGAAGCATAAATTAGAAGGGTATATGCAATTTTCCTTTAGGTTTTTAATATCATGGATGAGACAATGTTTGATATGCAAGATGGAGTCATTTCAATAAACAAATGAACCAAGGCACTAAAACTATTAACCAGATAAAATAAAAAATCTTGCTGAAGGTACAATTATACTTTTTCAAGATGTATGATGTTTAACCCTTTCAGGGTCCACAGGCCAAATTTCAAAGTGCACACCTGGGTCGAAGAATTTTCAAAAAATAATTTTGTTATTTTTCTTATGAAATGGTAGAGAATCTTTTCCTGAAGGTAATAAAACAAAAAGTACGAAATTTGATGGAAAATTGACAAAATTATGCTCTTGCGAATTTTGACATGTCAGCGATATTTACGCATTGGCGATTTTGCCGACTTTGACTCCCATTTTAGGCCAGTTATATTATTTCAGTTGACCAAATTCTTAGCTATTTCACTAGTATTACTTCTTTTCTATCGATTGAGCACAAGAATTCGCCAAGTCAACTTTTTCAACTACAAAATAAAGTGATTGGAAATTGGTAATTTGGCCAATATAATGCAAAGTTCAAAATACTCCAATTTCAAAATAGGGACCAGAATAAACAATACAGGCATTCCTGGCACTAAAGTAATATTTCCTCTGTTCATTAGTTACATTTTCAGGCTTTACTAATGAATTCCATTTTGATTTTTTATTCACATAATAAATTTTTATTCAAACCAAAAAACCGAAGATTTACTTTTATGCAATAATGTAATAATTGTATAAATAATATCACCACATTGGCGAACGTATATTAGACCCACCAGCTGGTGTGTATTAGACGTATGAGGTCATTTGTTTACTCTTGAACATCGGCAAAAATTTAACATTTCCGTTACTTTGAGCTCAGTTTCAAGCCATTTCCAGTATGTACTAAAACCAATCAAAATCTTCTCTATTTTTTTGTAATATATCTTCCATTCTATCAAACGAGACCAAGAAATTGCAAAAAAAACTATAAATAACATACGAAAAACACTGCAAAGTCGCTGTTTTAATAAAAAATTACGGTCTCAGTTTTTCTCTCGTTATCCACTGTGTGCTGCAGGATTTGTTTTATGTGGTGCACACATACCACATAGATGTATTCTCTAATATCTAGACCAAAATTTACCGCTCACAGCTTATCAGAGTGAGCTGAGCTCATGGCGTAGATCTATGGTTTGGACCCTCAAAGTAAAGCCGTAGATCTATGGCACGGACCCTCAAAGGGTTAAGGGCAAAAGCAAATAGTAAACAGAAATGTCATACATGTTCAAATAAGCAAATTTCAAGCCAGTCTTACAAGCAACATATTAAAAAAAAAAAAAAAAAAAAAACTGAGTCACATCAAGTGTCTTGAATATTTCTTGGCAATGAATGTGTAAATATATGGAGAGCATAATGCATCATTATTTAAAAGAGAAAATAATGACAAATTAATGTATCACTAATAACCATGATCTCTTTTGGAAAATACAGTGAATTAGGCTATACTATAAATATTTAGTAAATACGTAGATAGAATGGGAGAATAACTGTCATTAAACTTTGCTGAAAATAAGAAAAAATTTTGGAGTGAGATTAACAAGTTAAGAAAGCCTAGGGAACGAATGGATTTGTCAGCTAAAAACAGTAGGGGAGTTAGTAGATGGGGAGATGGACGTACTGGGTAGATGGCAGGAATATTCTGAGGAACTTTTAAATGTTGATGAAGAAAGAGAGGCGGTACTTTCATGCACTGGCCAGGGAGGTATAACATCTTTTAGGAGTGAAGAAAAGCAAGATGTGAGTGTGGGGTAGGGGTGTGAGACATTATGTAGAATTAAAGGGGGGTAAAGGAGCTGGAACTTATGGGATCATGACAGAAATGTTAAAAGCAGGGGGGGGGGGGGATATAGTGTTGGAGTGGTTGGTATTTTTGTTTAATAAATGTATGAAAGAGGGGCAGGTACCTAGGGACTGGTACTATGCATGCATAGTTCCTTTATATAAAGGGAAGGGGGACAAAAGAGATTGTAAAAATATAAGGGAATAAGCTTACTGAGTATACCAGGTAAAGTGTATGGTAGGGTTATTATTGAAAAAATTAGAGGTAAGACAGGGAGCAGGATTATAGATGAGCAAGGAGGTTTTAGAGTGGGTAGTGGATGTATAAGTCAAGTGTTTACACTGAAGCATATATGTGAACAGCATTAAGATAAAGGTAGAAAAGTTTTCATTGCATTTATGGATTTAGAAAAGGCATATGACAGAGTGGATAGGGGAACAATGTGGCAAATGTTGCAAGTGTATGGAATAGGTAGTAAATTACTAAATGCTGTTAGGAGTTTTTATGAGGATAGTGAGGCTTAGGTTAGGGTGTGTAGGAGAGGGGGAGATTACTTCCCGGTAAAAGTAGGTCTTAGACAGGGATGTGTAATGTCACCATGGTTGTTTATAGATGGGGTTGTAAAAGAAATAAATGCTAGGGTGTTGGGGAGAGGGGTGGGATTAAATTATGGGGAATCAAATACAAAATGGAAGTTGACACAGTTACTTTTTGCTGATGATACTGTGCTTTTGGGAGATTTTAAAGAAAAGTTACAAAGGTTAGTGGACGGGTTTGGGAGGGTGTGTAAAGGTAGAAAGCTGAAAGTGAACATATAAGAGGAAGGTGATGAGGATATCAAATGATTTAGATAAAGTTTAATTGGATATCACATTGGAGAGAGGGAGTATGGAAGAAGTGAATGTTTTCAGATATCTGGAGGCTGACTTGTCAGTGGATGGGTTTCTGAAGGATGAGGTTAACCATAGAATTGAAGGAAAAAAGGCGAGTGGTGCGTTGAGGTATCTGTGGAGACAAAACACGTTATCCATGGAGGCAAAGAAGGGAATGTATGAAAGTATAGTGGTACCAACACTCTTATATGGGTGTGAAGCTTGGGTTGTAAATGCTGCAGCAAGGAGGTGGTTGGAGGCAGTGGAGATGTCCTGTCTAAGGGCAATGTGTGGTGTAAATATTATGCAGAGAATTCACAGTGTGGAAATTAGGTGTGGAGTTACTAAAACTATTAGTCAGAGGGCTGAAGAGGGGTTGAGGTGGTTTGGTCATTTAGAAAGAATGGAACAAAGTAGAATGACTTGGAGAGCATATAAATCTATAGGGAAAGGAAGGCGGGGTAGGGATAGTCCTCAAAAAGGTTGGAGGGAGGGGTAAAGGAGATTTTGTGACATGGGGGGGGGGGTGAGGCTTGGATTTCCAGCAAGCATGTGTGGGCATCTTAGATAAGAGTGAATGTGAATGGAGACGCATGGTTTTTGGGACCTGACGAGCTGTTGGAGCGTGAGCATGGTAATATTTTTGTGAAGGGATTCAAGGAAATCGGTTAGCCAGACTCGAGTCCTGAAAATGGGAAGTACAATGCCTGCACTTTAAAGGAGGGGTTTGGGAGTGACTATCTAAACTGTTTTATCTGGGTGCCTCTGCAAAGACAGATTATGTGTGAGTGATGGTGAAAGTGCTGAATGATAATTTAAATTCGTTCATTGTTTCTAGGTTTTTCTTTCTTTTGGGTCACCTTGCCTCAGTGGGAAATGGCCGACATGTAAAAAAACAAAAATCAAAATTGTCTTAAAGCCATCCTGGATTTAACTGACTGAAACAAGTCATCTCAAAGCCAAACTCATATTGCAAGGTTCTATACAGTGGACCCCGTTATCGTAATTAATACGTTTCTGAGAGAGTGACTAAACCTGAATCTGACGATTTCCAAATTCATTTTCCCCATAAGAAATAATGTAAATCGAATTAATCCGTTCCAGACACTCAAAAGTATTAAAAAAAATAATTTTTTTACATGAAATATACATTTACCTGCACAGAAAACAATGAGACATGCAGAATAAAACAATAATAAAATGACACTTACCTTTACTGAAGACTTGTTGATATCTGGAAGACAGGAGAAGGGGAGAGGATGGAGGAGTTACTATTGTTTGGAAGGGGAATCTCCTTCCATAAAGACTTCAGGTACCAAGTACTTTTCTGGGATTACTTCCCTTCTTTGTTTTTTAATGCCACTAGGACCAGCTTGAGAGTCAAGGACCCCTTTTGCTCAAAAGTGTTCCAGAGAGGTCTGTTTCTGGTTTATGTTAGGAACTGTGGCGGCAGCAGGGGAGTGTTGGGAGACAGGACAACATAGTCCTTCAATATGACACTAATATCAACTCTACGGCTTATTTACCTAGCACAATTCATCTAATATGACATAATAAACAATATTAATAACATAGAAACATGATATATATTCTAGAATGAATAAAATATGGCATTATGTATGTGGCAAGTGATGGTGTGTTGATGTTGTTGGGTGTATAAGGGCCACTGAAAGATAAGCCTTACATAGTGGTGGTGATGACAGCAGCAGAGGCAGTGGTGTTCTCAGTAGCCCTATATACTTCCAACAACATTGGAGGAGTGAATTTTGTGGTGTCTTTTTTCTATCGATTAATCACTTAACTTACTTGCAACACTGCTAATGCTACACTTTATCGCTTGCTGGCACTGTAGCCTCTATCGACTCCTGCTGCTTTAGTATCACACATATCACAGAATCATTGAAGAAAGCCCATTCTCCCCTCTCTCTCAGCCCTTTACCAAAGGGCTGGCTGGCACTAGGAACTTTCTTGGGGCCCATGGTGGCTTATTTAGCAGTTGCAAGCACTAAAAACAATGGAATAATACGAAATGTATTGTACGAATGCATGGGATCATGCTCACTGGCTGATAAACAATGGCACACTGAGTGTCGGGTCACTGTTGCTGTGTGGACGCATTCGGGATGAATGACTATTAGCGAGCTCAATGACGATCACCAAGCCAATGTTTTGACGAAAAAAACGTTACTATTTCTGAACATTACGAAACCTGACGACTACAAAATCCGGGGCTCCACTATACAAAAAACTGAGTTTATGAAGCAAATTTTGTAAACCCTGTTAAATGATCATTCATAAAGCTATTTAATTCTACAAGTTAAATCATGTAAGAATATTATCATCTTACCTACCTTAAAAAATGTGATAAAGACATGCGAGTCTGAGTTGACTAAGAAGACAAAAGCTAGGAAGGTGGTGAAGCCTCCATTTAGAACAGCTGGACCGATGGTGGCAACCGTGAGTCTTGCACGCTCATTCCTTGTTCCTTTCTTAGTCATAAATGTATGGCCTATGTGAGCAGCGTAGTCTACACAGAGGCCAATGGCCAAGACAATATCAATGCATGAAACAGTGTCAATAGTGAGGCCCCACCAGTGCATTAGAGCTCCCACATCCACAAGTGTCATTATAACACACAATAACACCATCACACTAGTGATCAAGTTTGCAATCAGAGCAAGTGTCACAATAAATACAACCATCATGGCAAGCCCCATATTCTGATAGAGCTCCTTTTCAATAATTTTGTCTGTCTCCCAACCGCTGTATGCTCGTGCAAAAGGCTGCACATAACCACTGAAGTTCATTCTTTGTACTATAGATTTGAGGTCGTCCATTGCTCTGATTTGCTCTCGTGACCCTGAAAAGTAACGATGCTTATATTCTATACTGGATGCCAAAATCTGAGGAGCTGGTTCTGTGCAGTTTAAGATTCCATCAAAATGGAAATTCCTAATACGGAATTTTGACCCGCTTGGACTATGAAGAAACATCCCAAGTTGATCAAGAAATTCCTCCTCAGTTTCATCTGGTTCAGGCACTGAATGTCCTTGTTTTTCCCAATAACTTTTGTATTTCAAATACCAACTATCAATTTCACTAATATATTCACTTTCCTTCATCTGTGTCATTAATTCTTCAATTTTTGGGAGCTCATCCAAATAATTCATTTTACCAAAATAAATAAATCCCATTTCCCCAGATGTTGGAAAATAATATTCTTGCTTCATAAAGAACTTAAAAAGGTAGGAGCTCTGAGGAAGGAACCAAATAGGATTAAACTCTTGTCGTAGGTTAGAAAGTCCCCATCCGGACACTGCTAAGAAAGCTGCTGTCACAAGAAGAACAAAGATCTTCACTGGAAATTTAAAAAGGAACTTAGCATAAACTTCACTAAAGAAAGTCTGGCAGAGATCTCTCTGACTACACTGGTTAGGAGTCCAGTTCTTAAGTTGCCAGCACCATATGAATCCATGACGATTATCTTCTAACCTTCTCTGGTCTAATACAAACCAGGCTACAAAGAATGTGGCCTGAAAGAAGTAAACAGCAGCTATTCCCACAGCAGCATACAAGCAAAAGTATCTCAGTGCTGGTAGAACTGTTCCACTGCCTATAGCAAAGGCAGCAAAGTCAGTTAAAGAGGTAACTGTTATAGAAACACCAGCATTCTTCAGAGCATATCCAATTCGTTCTGTTAGCTCTTGCTTTTTCTCCTGCTGACTAAGGTTGTTCCATGCTTGCATTATTACAAACATATCATCCACTCCAAGCCCAAGGAGAAGGAAAGGTAAAACATTGTTTACAGGGCCAAAAGGCACATCAAACACTGAACAAATTCCATATGATACAAAAATTGACATTCCAACACACAATAACCCCATCAGTGATAATAAGGGTCTTTGTTCAACCATATTAAATTTTCCTAGCATGATTTGAATGTATATAAACACTACACCAAAACCAACAGCCAAAAACTGTATATCTCCTATTATTGTATCTTCACTAATCATACCAAAGCTTGAAGATGCCATGAGATATACAGTTATATTGTCTGGCCGCTCACTCTCATTAAGAACAGCTTTAATAAGTTCTTTTTCCCAATGAAAGCTAACAGTATCTACTTCCATGCCAGTTCCTCCATCATCCACGAAACTGCCATCATTGACTGCTGTCAGGTTTATGCGAGTAATCCACATCTGCTTAGAAGCTCCTGCTTTAACTATTCGTCCTTTACTATCTTTTTCTACCTTTCCCAAAAATTCTGTAAAGTTTGTTGGGAAACCAAAAACAGCACTTATTTCTGCTGTGTTTACATCCTTGATGATCTGATCCGGTGTAAGGTTATTGATTATTTCTTCATCATATCCCCAGATTTCAAGGATGCTGTGTTCCATACATTTTTGTTCCATTGTCTCAAGAAAACCACAGTATATCCCTCTATCAAGAACAGTACTCCAGTCGTATCCATTTTTTTCATCATCTCGCTTTGTTCTCAGTGATGCATTGAGATGCATCTTCTGTCCTCCTGAGATTATATCTTGGTTCACAGTTCTCCTCTTGCGACTGAAGAAAGAGTTAACTATCGTTGGCATTTTGGCACACACCGAGTCCCATGTTGCATTGACTGTTGAAGCACTGGCAACAGCTTCATGGACTCTAAACATCTCCAGGAGTGCACTTTTGTCTAATACATTTTCAGCTTCATATATAGAAACATGAAGTCTGAACTCAGCTGGGTAGTTTTCCTTTTGCCACTCCATCACTTTAATAAAATCTGAATCCTGGGGTATCCAAAGTTTGAATGGGCGATCTTCCATTGTGAAGTTAAGTAAGCCTGTAGAGAAGCTGGCAGTAATAATTACACACAAAGTAATGAAAACAGCTGGACGGAGAGCAATGGCAGTACCATAGGTGTAGAAGGCATGCTCTAGACCATTAATAATGATTAAACTGATTCTACTCAATAAACTTTGCGATTTCATCTTTGCCTTCATCATTTTCATGGAGTCTGCTGTACTGCATGTCATAGTGCCACTCTCAGTCTCAGATTTCTGAAATCAAAAAGTATAGACAAATATAAGAATTATCATACATTCTCTACTGTTATGATACAACACAAATGATGTAAAAAAAGAAGTTCAATGTGTGATTCAGCTATTATAAAACAATTTACAGTAAAGTTTATTTCTTTGTAAAGGTTACAATGTGTAATTACAATTTTGATTTGCTAAGTACAAAGATAGCCACTATCATGCTGAAGCATTTCAGGCAAACTAATCCTAATACATAGTAACTAATTAAAACTAGATAAGATAATAGTACACTGTACATAATAACTATACTTAAAACTAGACAAGTAATAGTGGTTAACTGTTTTACAATCTTATTTAAACTTAATACAAGTGAGAGGTAGTAAGGTGGAGTAGGGTTCAATAAAATAATCTTGAAATTGCACACAAAATCTACCTTACAAGTAATGGTGCAGGTGGTAATATTTTATGGAATGGCAGAATTAAAAGCCATGAGGTCAAATAATGAAAGTAATTAGCAGATGTTTAGGTCGATTTGGTTAATACTGTGAGATAAGACAATTTTTTTTTAGCAAAGTTCTAAATTTATAAGCTGTCAGGGGATCCTTGACCTGTTCCTGGAGTTTACCTGGAGAGAGTTCCGGGGGTCAACGTCCCGGCGGCCCGGTCTGTGACCAGGCCTCCTGGTGGATCAGAGCCTGATCAACCAGGCTGTTACTGCTGGCTGCACACAATCCAACGTACGAGCCACAGCCCGGCTGGTCAAGTACTGACTTTACGTGCTTGTCCAGTGCCAGCTTGAAGACTGCCAGGGGTCTATTGGTAATCCCCCTTATGTATGTTGGAAGGCAGTTGAACACTCTCGGGCCCCTGACACTTATTGTATTGTCTCTTAACGTGCTAGTGACACCCCTGCTTTTCATTGGGGGGATGTTGCATCGTCTGCCAAGTCTTTTGCTTTCGTTGTGAGTGATTTTCATATGCAAGTTTGGTACTAGTCCCTCTAGGATTTTCCAGGTGTATATAATCATGTATCTCCCGCCTGCATTCCAGGGAATACAGGTTCAGGAACTTTAAGCGCTACCAGTAATTGAGATGTTTTATCTCCGTTATGTGCGCTGTGAAAGTTCTCTGTACATTTTCTAGGTCAGCAATTTCACCTGCCTTGAAAGGTGCTGTTAGTGTGCAGCAATATTCCAGCCTAGATAGAACAAGCGACCTGAAGAGTGTCATCATGGGCTTGGCATCCCTAGTTTTGAAGGTTCTCATTATCCATCCTGTCATTTTTCTAGCAGATGCGATTGATACAATGTTATGGTCCTTGAAGGTGAGATCCTCCGACATGATCACTCCCAGGTCTTTGACGTTGGTTTTTCGCTCTATTTTGTGGCCGGAATTTGTTTTGTACTCTGATGAAGTTTTAATTTCCTCGTGTTTACCATATTGGAGTAATTGAAATTTCTCATCGTTGAACTTCATAGTTTTCTGCAGCCCATTGAAAGATTTGGTTGATGTCCGCCTGGAGCATTGCAGTGTCTGCAATGGAAGACACTGTCATGCAGATTCGGGTGTCATCTGCAAAGGAAGACACGGTGCTGTGGCTGACATCCTTGTCTATGTCAGATATGAGGATGAGAAACAAGATGGGAGCGAGTACTGTGTCTTATGGAACAGAGCTTTTCACCGTAGCTGCCTCGGACTTTACTCTGTTGACTACTACTCTTGGTGTTCTGTTTGTGAGGAAATTATAGATCCAACTACCAATTTTTCCTGTTATTCCTTTAGCACGCATTTTGTGCGCTATTACGCCATGGTCACACTTGTCGAAGGCTTTTGCAAAGTCTGTATATACAGTGGACCCCCGGTTTACGATCAGCTCCCAATGCGATTAATTATGAAAGTGTATTTATGTAAGTGTGTTTGTATGTGTATGTTTGGGGGTCTGAAATGGACTAATCTAATTCACAATATTCCTTACGGGAACAAATTCGGTCAGTACTGGCACCTGAACATACTTCTGGAATGAAATAATATCGTAAACTGGAGGTCCACTGTATTACATCTGCATTCTTTTTGTCTTCTAGTGTATCTAGGACCTTGTTGTAGTGATCCAATAGTTGAGACAGACAGGAGCAACCTGCTCTAAACCCATGTTGCTCTGGGTTGTGTAATTGATGGGTTTCTAGATGGGTGGCGATCTTGATTCTTAGGACCCTTTCAAAGATTTTTATGATATGGGATGTTAGTGCTATCGGTCTGTAGTTCTTTGCTATTGCTTTACTGCCCCCTTTGTGGAGTGGGGCTATGTCTGTTGTTTTTAGTAGCTGTGGGATGACCCCTGTGTCCATGCTCCCTCTCCATAGGATGGTAAAAGCTCGTGATAGGGGCTTCTTGCCGTTCTTGATGAACACGGAGTTCCATGAGTCTGGCCCTGGGGCAGAGTGCATGGGCATGTCATTTATCGCCTGTTCCAAGTCATTTGGTGTCAGGATAACATCAGATAGGCTTGTCTTAACCAAATTCTGTGGCTCTCTCATAAAAAATTCATTTTGATCTTCGACTCTCAGTCTGGTTACTGGCTTGCTAAAAACCGAGCCATATTGGGACTTGAGTAGCTCACTCATTTCCTTGCTGTCATCTGTGTAGGACCCATCTTGTTTAAGTAGGGGCCCAATACTGGACGTTGTTCTCGACTTTGATTTGGCATAGGAAAAGAAATACTTTGGGTTTCTTTCGATTTCATTTATGGATTTTAGTTCTCCCCACGATTCCTGACTCCTATAAGATTCCTTTAGCTTAAGTTCGATGTTTGCTATTTCTCTGACCAGTGACTCCCTACGCATTTCAGATACATTGGCCTCTTTTAGCCGCTCTGTTATTCTTTTTCGTCGCCTGTAAAGGGAGCACCTGTCTCTTTCTATTTTACATCTACTCCTCCTTTTTCTTAAAGGAATAAGCCTTGAGCATACATCGAGTGCCACCGAGTTAATCTGTTCTAGGCATAAGTTGGAGTCTGTGTTGCTTAGTCTATCTTCCCAGCTTATATTGGTTAGGACTTGGTTTACTTGGTCCCACTTTATGTTCTTGTTATTGAAGTTGAATTTGGTGAAGGCTTCCTCATGACTAATCTCATTATGTCGGTCTGGGGCTCCGCGCATACATGTCTGAACCTCGATTATGTTGTGATCTGAGTGTATTGTTTTTGATATGGTGACATTTCGTATCAGATCATCATTGTTAGTGAAGATGAGGTCTAGTGTATTCTCCAGTTTAGTAGGCTCTATTATTTGCTGGTTTAAGTTGAATTTTGTGCAGAGATTTAAAAGCTTGTGTGTGTGTGAGTTCTTGTCAGAGCTGCCTCCTGGTGTTATCACTGCAACAACATTATTTGCAAGATTCCTCCATTTTAGGTGCCTTAAGTTGAAATCCCCCAGGAGCAAGATGTTGGGGCAGGAGCTGGCAGATTTTCCAGACAGTGGTCAATTTTTAACAGCTGTTCCTGGAATTGCTGGGACATTGCATCCGGAGGCTTGTAGACTACCACAGTAACTAGGTTTTGGTTCTCGATCTTTACTGCTAAAACTTCCACTACATCATTTGAGGCATTAAGCAGTTCTGTGCAAACAAGTGACTCTGTGATATACAGGCTAACCCCCACCCCCCCCTTTTGCCTGTTCACTCTGTCGCATCTGTATAGGTTGTAACCTGGGATCCATATTTCATTGTCCAAGTGATTCTTTATGTGGGTCTCTGTGAAAGCCGCGAACATTGCATTTGCCTCTGCAAGCAGTCCACGGATGAAAGGTATTTTGTTGTTCGTTGCTGGCTTTAGACCCTGTATATTTGCAAAGAAGAATGTGGATGAATGGTGGTATTGGTGGTCCTGGGGGGGACTTTTTTTCAGCATTAGTATCTGTATCTGTTGGTTTGGAGTGGAGGCCATCGACTGTGGTTCCACTCCAGGAATGACTGGATTTGGTGTACGATTTCTGCCATTTCCTGCCAGTTTTTTTTTCCTTCCTGGCACTAAAAAACGAGTTCCAGATCTTTGGGCCTTTTATGTGCATAGCGTTCTTGCATAGTGAGAGTTACTCGAGGGATGTTGAAAAGTGCCTTATGCCTTGTATTGTGGCTGTGCATTCCATTTGTAACTGTCAAGTAGTAGTTCTAGGGAAGGGTTTACAGTGGAGTTTAAAGTTCTGTATATGCAGTAGGCACAATAAAAAGTATGTCTTGTATATTTAGCAAGTTGAGTCTTCTGAAAAGTGGTGGGGTGTGCTGTCTAGCACAGGAGCTGGTTATCACCCATGCAGCAGCTTTTTGTTGGATTATTAAGGGTCTAAGGTGGTTGGCTGTGGTTGAGCCCCAGGCACAAATATCATAGGTGAGGTAAGGATATATTAGAGTGGTACAGGGTAAGGAGAGTCATTTGTGGTATATAGTATCATATCTTGGAAAGGATTCCAACTGATTTGGAAATTTTCTTGGTAATGTGATGGGTATGGGACTGAAATTTAATTATTATTATTATTTTATTATCACACTGGCCGATTCCCACCAAGGCAGGGTGGCCCGAAAAAGAAAAACTTTCACCATCATTCACTCCATCACTGTCTTGCCAGAAGGGTGCTTTACACTACAGTTTTTAAACTGCAACATTAACACCCCTCCTTCAGAGTGCAGGCACTGTACTTCCCATCTCCAGGACTCAAGTCCGGCCTGCCGGTTTCCCTGAACCCCTTCACAAATGTTACTTTGCTCACACTCCAACAGCACGTCAAGTATTAAAAACCATTTGTCTCCATTCACTCCTATCAAACACGCTCACACATGCCTGCTGGAAGTCCAAGCCCCTCGCACACAAAACCTCCTTTACCCCCTCCCTCCAACCTTTCCTAGGCCGACTCCTACCCCGCCTTCCTTCCACTACAGACTGATACACTCTTGAAGTCACTCTGTTTCGCTCCATTCTCTCTACATGTCCGAACCACCTCAACAACCCTTCCTCAGCCCTCTGGACA